AGCCAGTGTTTCAAAATGAAGGGAGTCCTTTGGGGCTCCTTGAGGAGACTTGCCTAAAGGATGAGGGCAGGAGAGTCACTCAAAGAGGAGATAACAAGCATTTCCCCAGATTCAAGCAACTGAACAGAGCTGGGAACTAATCTAAAGGAGACCTTCACAGAGTCCTGCCTACCCGCGAGGGCAGAGTGTGGCGGGGTTGGTGTGAGTTGGAGAAGGTGTTGATATCGCAAGTCAACTTGTGCTGTAGTCTCAGTCCCACTTTCAGGCATGAAGGCAGGAAGGTAGAGAGCGCTGTGCTCTCAACACGTCCAAACACAGACCCGTGAGGGGAGCCCCAGATCTCAGCCCCTCGCAGTGGTCTGTGTCTCAGTAAGCGGTATTAGCACTCATCCAGTCACTAAGGCCTGAAACCAAAACATGATTCACGACCTTGCACTCCTCCTCACCCTCATTCATATGTCCCCCAAATCATGTCAGTGAGGAACGCCTTCAAACCTTTTGTCTTTTCTTCTTTCTGCTACCACTGCAGCTGGACAGCGCCCCGCCGCCTCCCTCCCAGACTACAGCAGTAGCTTTCTAACTGTCTCCTTCACACCCAACCCAGCCTGTCTCTGCCCCCTCACCACCCAGCTACCAGAATGATCTTTCCATCTGTAGAGATGCACAGAGTTCAGAGCAGCAACTCTCTTCATGTATGAAACATTTTTTGGAAAGCCCCTGGGAGTTGATGCTCAGATCTTAAGAGCCCTCAAGTGTGGGGTGGAGGTGAGAAGGATTTGCTGGTTTTGCTATAAGTTGGAAAAGAAAAAGAGAGGAAAGAAAGGGTGGAATGGGAAGTGATGTGAGGCCACTTGATTGTGATAGGTCCCGTGACATCCCCCACACTGACCTGCAGTAAAAAACTCAGAAAACAACAAAATGCTTAATGTAACCTGATTTCCCATGGGAACCAATGAAAGGCCTGGGCTTTGGGTCTAGACCAATAGTGAGCGGAGGCAGAGAGGGTGGCATGGGGAGGGCAGAGCATGGATTGGGAAGGAGGCAGGTGTGGGAAGGCTCTGAAGCAGCACACACAGATGCAGATAGGACAGAACTGCAGAAGTGGAGGAGGGTCTTGACTGTCTCGGTTCTGAGGAATCTAGGTGCAGGCTAAGATTAATCAGTCCTCACAGGGCTCCCAGTTGGTATCTGAATTACATGACTATGTGATATATGAATAGACGCTGTTTATTCAGCAGTGTGCTGTGGGTTTTTTTTTTATATGTAGTATCTCATTTGATTCTATTCTCATAACAACTGCAAGGGATAAGTATTATTATTGCTTTACTTTATGGGGTTCCATCCTGTTACAATCTAAGTTTATTTTCCTCCATTTTTAAGATACATAATAACTGTAGGGCAGCATAGAGTTCCCTGAATCACACACAAAGAAAGTTAAAGGACGAAAAAAGTAATCACTGAAAAGGAAACTGAAGTGCAGAGACCCTGGCAGCCTGGCTCCTGAGCCTATGTTCTTGTTCACTGCATGTTCTCAATCTCTCTTGCCTCCCCTCCTCTTCCCTTCTTTCCCATCTTCTTCCATCTATCCACTCATCCACCCATCCATTCATCCATTAAGGGTCCATCCATCTATTCATCCATATTTCTGACCACATATCTCTCTATATATAGATAGTTGGATGTGTGTGTGTGTTTATTTCTGACCATAGATAGTCAGATACATATATATATATATGTATGTATCTCCAACTATAGAGATTATTCCTCTTTGGGTGGGAGGTTGAATTAGAGAAACTAAGTTTCCTTCCAGTCTCAAGTTCTTTGAGGTTTAGTTTATTTTAGACTACATTTCGATTATTTTTGGCAGGTGTTGATTTTCCTAACTTGTTTGGATTTACCGAAACATACATTTCAGGGCTTTTGGATCTAGGAGAAAGTCCAAGTCCTTCACGTTGAGAGTGAGATGAAGTGACCCACTAAAGCTCACCCGGTCCAGACCTCTGCCTGTTCCACATTGTTTTGAATTCTGAATATGTGGCAAGTGGTGATAAGGACAACAATCCAACTAGGTAATGCGTAAGAGAGAATGACAGCCTGGAATCAGTGTCATCTATTTTTACAGCATGTGTATGCTAACAGTCAGTGATGATTATGACAGTAGTCATGACTCCAGCAATTCACACATCCCCATACCTGAAGAGATTTAGAGACCTCATCCAAGGCATGTCTTGCCTCCTGATAACTAATGCCTGATTCATTCCAGAGATGAACAAATTTAAAAGAAGGTGCTATTTAAAAGCAAAATGCTCCAGGAATTTTAAAACCTTTTCTAGCTTTTATCTCTTTCTGAGGAGTACCTTCCTGTTGTATGTTGATTTTTTTACATCCATTTAAAAAATAAATAACTGTAGAACAGCATATAACTCTTTGAACCACACAGCAAAAGAAAGAAAGAGGAAGCAAAAGGAAGTGAGCTCTATGATCATGGGCAGAAAGAGACTGATGATCAACGGAAAGTAGTTGGGTTTGAGGATACAGAAGCTGGAAACAGCTGGTTCTGGCTGCACCAGAACACACACATCACATCCATGCCAACTGCCATCTTTTCAAATTCCAGGAAGCCTGGCATGGGTGAAGCTGAGTCACCTGGAGGCTGTGCCGAAGGCTGGTTGTGCTGTAAGTTTTATGTGCAGCAGGCTCTATCTTTTTCTCACAAGTGAGTTGGGTGAGCTCTTGGCATCCAACGCTCCCTACATTCACCTCCTTTGAGAAGAAAAAAATGAGACCCAGAAGATAATATTATCATTTACTGAGTAGCTACACTGTGTCCAGAACTGAGTTTTACATCACTTATTCATCTCAACATTCTTGAAAGGATGGTATTATTTTCCCCATCTTATAGGTGAAGACTGTGAAGTTCAGAAAGTTAAAGTGACATCACCAGTGTTCCCCAGTAAGTGATGGAGGCTGATTTTGAGCCAGATCTATATGCTCCATCATCACTCTCTTGAGGAAAGAGCCTAGATGCATTCTATCTGCATTCCTGCTAAGATTCTGTACAACTTCTCCTGCCCATCGCCTTAGCCCCCTCTCCTCTAGTCCATGAGATTACAGCTTTGCACACTGATAGTGGGGTCCTTCTCAGCCCACACATACAACCAGCATCAAAGGACAGAAGGGTTCATCTCACACACTCACAGACCCTGTAGACTCTTTAATCTATACCTCCAGCTCAAACTCAGAACATTGATGGGGACCTGCTCTCCAATCTTTCACCTCCCCTTTCTCCATAAAACAAATGCCAACGTTCATGCACCTGCCCACCCCCAGCTTACAGGGCAGCCTCTGCCAGACCATGCTTCCCACCGTGGAGGAAGGAACATAAGAGTCAGTGGGCTCATCCGTTGACCTCTGTGTGAGATGGCGTGTGATCCTGCCCCATGGACTCAGAGTGCAGAATTCCCAGGGTAGCACAGGTGTGGTGATTCACAAGAGCAGCTGTCGACACATCTGAGTGCACAGACCATCCCCCCATGCCAGGCTGGGAGAGGCTGCTCCTATATTTGGCAGGTGGCTTGTGCCAGTGGCACCAAGGCTATGGCAGGGTATAGCAGAGGTCTAAGGCCAAGTGGAAGTAGAGCTGTTGCTTTGTTTTGAAAGTCAAATGAATGGCCTTTACAAACCTCTACCCACAACTCCTTGAAAAGGGATAGGAGTAATTCTGACCCTACTCTTACCTCCCTCCATATCAATTCAAGCTGAATGAAGAGCACCCCTACATGGCTACAGGAGGATAGATACAACTTCAGCTGGATGTAGCACCACTTTCAGTAAGGTGAATGTCCTCACTGGACCCTCTTGTCTGTCTTCAAAATGAGAATGACCAAGTTTGGATTTATTATTCTATTCTTGAACCCCAAAGACCATCCTTAGAGCAAAATATGCTCTTTGAAGGATGAGAATGTGGAGAAGCACAGTATCTTTAAATAGCAAGGGAAGGGAGTCTCAGATTAGGAAAACTGGGAAATGGACATATCACTAGGATAAGGATGCTGAGTGGCAGGTGCAGGCTGTCTGTGACTTTGTCACGTCTGGGAGACAAATGACTTTTCCCAGGGTGTGAGAATTTAACAGGCTGTATTCCTGATGACCTTGACCATCCTAATCACCCTTGTGTGATGCTGGGGTCCAGATTCCACCCAAGTTTGACTTTATTGCTATTCCCAAGTTTCCCTATTAATCAAGGCAATTCATGAATATGGAATAAGGTGATCATTTCCCAGGTTATGGCTTGAAATAGACACAGAAATCAGCTCAGCTGAATACAGCATGCAGAATCAGTCCTCCAGAAGGCAGAAATCAGCTCAGCTGAATACAGCATGTGGAATCAGTCCTCCAGAAGGCAACTTTCTCTCTTTCCAGGGGTCTGTAATAAGACATAACTTGGCCAGTTGTGGGAGTCCTATGAGCCACAGCAGACTGGGTCCTCACCCATGGCCAGGAATGAGGCACAGGCTTTTGGGTGTGCTTGTGTGAGCAAATGTACATAGAAACCACCACACCCACACCCCACATACCATGACAGGGTGGAGTATTTGTTGTCCTTACCTTAACCTTGTCATTATTTTCAGAAATTCTAGGCTTTCAAGGTGCTGTGTCCATCAGAACACAGCCCAGAAATTCTCAGCAGCCTTAAAAGGCACCTTTCCAACAGCATTTCCTTTATCTGCCCCTTACATCTGGGCATCCTGGACTCCAAGCAGGTCACAGCCATGAGTAAGATTTACTTCCTAAGGGGAAGCAGGAGTCATGTCTAGCCATGTCTAACTTCCAAGCTTGTATTTGCAAGCCCACACCACCCACCTATAATACCCTCTTTTGACATTTGCTCAAGCTGCACAACTTGGTCAGGGAATTTGAGGGGATAGGTGTTCTGGTTAATGAAGAATTACCATATAGGTATCTTCCAAAGAGTAAATTAAAAGTCACAGCAGTAACTAATATTCTGAACAATATTTAATCTCTGATGCTTCAGAAGACACTTTGAGATCTCGAAGGACCTTAGGGTTGAGTCTTTGATAGTGACTATGAGTTCTTAGGGTGCTGTGTGGATGTACAACAGCACTGGCTAAGGAGAGGTGGCAGCAGGCAATGAGGGTAAGAACCTCAGCTCTTTCCCTAAATGGCAGGCTGACCCGAGGTAAGTCATTTCTCTTCCCCAGCAGCACTGGGTTGGAGCTTCTCTGAGGCGCCTCTTACCTCTGATATTCTGCTAAGACTGGCAGAGGATGTATGGTGTAGCTTTTCCATCATTGGAACCGAGAAAAATTTAAAACTACCTGCATCAACACAGAGAAGATATGAAACAGTTCTTGGGCGTTTATAAAGCCCGTGGGCTGGGCTCCCATCTCAATGTCAGCCTAGCCCTGGGGTCTGTGCAGGCTGAGATAGGGAGCAGGAAAGCAGGAAGAACAGGAGCAGCAGAGTTGGGGACCACAGCACAGTTTGTAACTGAGCTTATCAAGCCTGTGGAGAAGGACTCTCCCTGGTGGAGGTAGTGGCATGAGTATGTGGTCACTTATCCTGCCTTCTCAGACCAACTGAGAGCTGTTCTGCTGTCAGTCAACCCAGAGCTTGGGTTACAGGGATGTGTCCTGTCTTTGGGACTGGTGATACTGAGAAGGCAGTGGGCGAAGAGATAATGAACCAGCTCCTCTTAGCCTAGGCCTTGTCCAGAAGGCTGGAACTGAGAGAGAGAGATCTGGCAAGGTATGAGCCAGTCTCCATCCACTGTAGGGATTCCAGGAGGCCCGCATTTCATGTGAGCCTGCATTTGCTGGCTGTAACTACTGTTCAAGTCACTGACATGTCCATTGTCTCATCTGACTTTTCTTCTCAGGCATGGCCATCCCCTCCACTCAGCTCTGGCTAGGCTTGAATCTACCCAGTGTAAGAAAACCTCTAACAAGAGCAAAATTCTGAACAATGACTCATTGTGTTACATAAATAGCTTCAGTGATGTATCCCGCCCCACCCTCCCGCCCCCGCCACACACACACCCTCTTGTGAAGATCACCTTCAGAATGATCCATGTGGGCACTCAATGGCACAACACTCTGAATATAAACGTATGCTTCGATTCAAATCTCTCCCTCCCGTTCATCTCCAGCAGAGAGCATCTGAGAGAACCCTTCCCCTGCCCAAGCCTTAAGTTATGCGATGGCAAAGGCTCCCACTTGGAGCCTGCGTCTCTTCTTGTTCAGCCAAGTCGGGGGCAGTGCTGGCAGTGCTGGTGGCAGAGTCTACTCCTTCAACAGTCCCAGCTTCTTCAGGGCCTCCCTTCTGTGTTCATTGGGGACACCTTTTGGGGAGATCTTGACACTGACACAGGGGGGCCGAGGAAGCTTGTCACTGCTCTGTCCTTGGTAGGACAGGTGCTTGGAGCTCTGCTCCTGCTCCAGGTCAGCCAGCTTGCCTACCTGGATACCTACAAAGTCTTTCCCTGTGCCCAAGGAGGCCGGGCGGGGCCGAGAATTACGCAAGATGCTGGGCGAGATCTTGTCCAAGACGGAGCCCTTTCCCAGAGAAGTGCTGGTTTTGGGGCTGGCGTCTTTCTCAGCTGAGAGGTAGCTGCTCAGCCCCACGCCTGAGCGCTCCAGAGTGTTGGACTTGAAGTTCATCTGTCTCAGGCCAGGGATGTTGCTCTCCTGGAGAGTCAGGGCTGAGTCAGGCTTCGGTGGAGTCGGGGGACTATTTGCCCTTGGAGCCTTAGGGATAGGAATTGGCACTGATTTGGTAGCTGCGACATTGCCTGGAGCTGGAGACTTCATTGGCAAAGGTCCCTGAGCTGGAGCTGGAGCCGGAGCTCGAACCAGAGGCTTCCCTGCAGCAGGGATAGCTGCTGAGGCCTGAGCTGGGGCTGGGGACGGACGCTGGGCACGTGTCTCCTTGAGTCTAATGGAGCTGGTGGGCTTACTTAAGTGGAGTCCAGGCTCATCTTGGTCCTGGGGAAGCCCCAGCTTCTCCAGGGCTTCTCTACGTGCTTTCCTCTGCTCTTGCAGTGAAGAGGGGGCCAGGCCAGAATCTCCAGGGGCAGCCTCAGTGTGGCGGGACAGCCAGTGCTGGGGATCACTGTGGAAGCTGCTTCGGCTGCTCTTCAGAACAATATTAGGTGGCAGCTTCCGGGGCTTAGGGGCTGTGAGGGGAGCCAGTCGGGTGTTTGGGTCCTCCCCTGATGGGAGGAGAGCATCTTCAGCTTTTACATTCTGAGGCAACACTGCAGGAGGAGGCCGGGGTTGTTGTGTGCACCCAGTTGAGCCTGTTTCCTTGGCTTTTTGGGACATGGCCTTTGAAGCAGTCTGCTGTCTCTCCTGGGAGCAGGATGGTGTGTGGAGCTGGGGTGCGTGGCCCTGCTGTCCTGGCCCCTCGGGCAGGCTGGCTTCCCTATACTGCTCTGTCTGGGTGTCCCGGAAAGCTTCTGGTGGGGGGATGAGCACCACGTCCAAGTCAAGGGTAGCCTCCCGGGGGCTGGCAGGTGCCTGGCTGGGTTCGCTGCTCTGGCTGACTTGCTCTTTCTCAGGCCCTGGCACAAGCCTCACGGGTTCTCCAGGGGTGTGCCTGATAGCCTGGGTGGTGCTTTTCCTGAAGTTCTGGCTCCTGGCAATGTGGATATTCCTGGGGAGGCTATAGGAGCCAGATCTGAGGCCCAGGCCCTGGGGCTCGGGAGGATGGGATGAGCTGGGCTCTGTCACTGTCTTTGGCTCTGGTCCTTGCTGGGTGATGATCTCCTCTGGACCTCCTGTGAAGATAAGAAAGAACATAAAAGAGTGGATAGAGGTGAGGGCCCTGCTGCAGAGGGGAAAGCAATTACTTCCTGAACTCTGATCCCAAACTAACAACGAATGGGTTTTATTTTGTTTCGTTTTTACAGGAGGAGAACTTTTGTCTGGATATCATTTAGATTAATAGGTCAGTCATAGCAGATCTGGGGACAGGCGCAGTGTCTCATGCCTGGAATTCCAGCACTTTGGGAGGCCAAAACAAGTGGATCATTTGAGCCCAAGAGTTCGAGACCAACCAGGGCACCATAAGAGACCCCATTTCTACAAATAACAATAGCAGATCCTTTTTGACTGAGAATTAATTTTCCATAATTGGTGGCAAGAGAGTGACCCCTGATTGCTCTAAGTTCCTGACTCATCCTCTCCTCGGGCTTCTACAGAGGCACCAGAGTTGGGGATAAATTTGGGACAGTTCCTTCTACCTATCTTGGGGCTCCAGATAACTGAGCCCAATGGAAGCCTATGAATAAATGATTTGCTCTTGATTCAACCAGGCTTCTGCCTTCTTCTACTTTCACTTTCTATGAGCACCTGGATGATTCTGCAATAGTCATAGTGTCCCCACACCAGAAAGTGACTTCTTTCCTTCTAGTGAGCTAGGCAGGTGCATCAGGCCCACGGGGTCAGTGAATCAGTCTCAAGGAGCCAAAAAGTCCTATGTCTCCATTTATAGGTCTAGCTCCAGGGAGGATCTAACTGTTAATAAATATTTGCTAAATGAAACAACAAAAAACTGCAGCCCTCACAGGAGTAAAATGCTCCTCACACTCTGGGACATGTGGCCCCACACACATGACCACAGTTGTGTTGTTCTGTTCCCCTTCTGCTGAGCCTGAACACCACTGGCTCTCCGTGCTCTCTGACGAGGGCCTCAAGGTGCTTCCCACTGCAGCTGGGGAGCCCTTCCCTCTCCTTATCTCTCCTACCCTTGTCCTCTGTGCCACCCAGATTAGCTCCCTAGACTGACTCAGTCACTCCAGAGCCAACCACCCAGCCCTCCCTGACTGCCTCCCCCGCCCCTGTGGTCATATCTCTTTAGAATTTTTCCACAGGAGAATGGGAGCTGGTCAACCCCCTTTCCATTCCAGGGCTCTGATACTTCATAGAAAGACATAGGAAGCTGGCTTGCCGGCGGTCCCTCCTTCCCTCCAGGGACAAGGCTCTGCATAGCCAGGAGAGTGGTGGGGAGTGTGGCTACTCCTTCTTCTGCCTGTGACCCTTGAGGCAGAGGGCAAGCAAGGTAGAAGGTGGCCGGAGGGACATCTTGATTTCCTGGGTTTTGCTGGAGTTCTACCCCAGAGAGATCTGCCTTACCCCGGGGAGTGGGCTGGGTTATGGGCAGTGCTTGGAAACCTCTGGGAGTTGTGGCTGGCTCAGACTCATCAGTGGACAGTCCGCTGTCAGCCTCTGTGTCCAGTGAGCCAATGGTCTCCTCCAGGAAGAGCAGACACTCCTTCTCTTCAGCGGACAGGTAGTCGTAGCTGCTATCACTCTGTAGGGGAGCGAGGAGAGGGAGAGAGAGCTGTGAGAATGAGCTCCCTCCGCAGAAACTGGCGGGGCCTGAGAACCACCCTGCAGAGGGGAAGGAATGCTGAAGAGCTGGAAACCTTTCCCTCCTGCTACTCTGCAAACCGCTGGAGTTGCTTCCTGAAACTCTGTAGGGAGGACAGAGACGGTCAGGGTGCTGGCCCACCAGCACCCAGCTCCCGAGCTGGGGAGGCCCAAGGCCAGGGCCTTTCTTTGGCTCAGTCCTGGCTGGCATACTTAGGGGCACAGATGAGAAGCAGTCCCAAGTTCCAATTCCAATTCCTCTGTGTGACGTTTGTCAAACATTTCACTTTGGGCATCTCTGATTTAGAGGTGCTCCAAATTAGAAGGGCAACAAAACAATTTGACCTGAAATGTCAGTGGTATTGCTTTTAACTTTTAAAAGTACTTCTGCAGACTTGATCTGGTATGTGAAGGACAGAATGAGGAAAAACAGGAAAGGCAGCCAACCACAGGCTGCCAGGCCAATGGGAACTGCGGCATGACTAGCCACAGATAAATGTACTAAGTGATTTATACTTGACTTTGAAATGCATTCCATAGGAGATTTTTTCCCCTTGTACATTTACTTTCTTGATGACATTTGGCTCTGGCTAATGTTCAAATAACTGTGCATTTCTAAAGCAAATATTAACTTAAAGGGGTTGGTTCGCGGAGAAACTGGACGGTATGGGAGGAGGGAAAAGCAGCTTAGTATTAAATATGAAGTAGATCTGAAAGTAGATCATATTCATTATGAGAGAGTACACAGAGGTACCTGGAAGAAAACAATAACGGTCATCTCAGGCAGTTACTATCTATTCTGTACCAGGGCAAGAAGGTTGATGGAATTGCTCTTCCACAGAGGAGGCTGAAGAGAAAACAAAAGAGCAAAGTGGAATGTAAGAAATTTGGGCTGAGTCTCTTCTTGGCGTCTCCACCCCTTTTCCTAATATTTGGGACGCTTCAGAGATGTATATTCTTCAGGCCCACCCAGATGGCCAGGGAAGATTTTGAGAAAGCTCTGAAAATATCCTGGAGAGAGTAGAGATGGTTGCAGAATAGCCCTTTCAGTTGCCTCTGCCCCTTAAAGAGCCACCTGTCTGTTGGCTGACTTAGGCCTCCATGTGAAAGGAAGCCCCAAATATAGCCCCTGGCAGCCCTGAAGCTGACTCCAAGTTTCTTGAAGAAAAACATCTTTATTGTCCTCTTCCCCCTAAAATAGCCTTGCCAAGGATATGCTGACTCTGAATTTCTCCTTTGTGAATGACTCACTCTGAAAACTTTAATCCCTGTCACATTCTGTGTCCAATGGTATGAGACTATTGCATTGGCTTCAGCCTAACAGACATAGAAAGATGTCTCCACAGCCCCATTATCTAGGGTCAAAAAGAAATTTTGTGTGATTTCATGCACTTTGGATTTGTGCGTGTCTGTTCCTTTCTCTACTCTGTTTTTACATATCAAAGTCCATTGATTGTCTTAGACACTCTTGACATTCAGTAGACACCCTTATAATCCTTAAATTTTCAAATACCTCCATAGGATATAAAGCAACAAAGCATAAATTCTCCAGGATTCTTATGTACGTGACAAGCATGAACAACAAATGTTTGCATCTAATGCAGGACAGATTTACTCTTTCACACCAGCCTTACAACAACTGAGATTTAAATTCATGCCCAGAAAAATTAGTTTATTAAATGCCACCCACAAGTAGCTAAACACAGTGGCTTTGGAAGATTCTTAGTCTCTGCTCTAGAAAGGCTGTCTGTTCTCCACATAGAGGCATATGCTAGGTGCTTTACCTGTATCTCATTTACTCCCCACAAATTGAATTAAGTGTAAACATTATGCCATTTGAAAACTGAAGAGACTAAAGCTTAGAGAAATTAAGTAAGTTGGCCAAGGTCATACAGCTTATAAGTAGAGAACTCAGATCTGTTTGGTTCCAGAACCTAGGCTCCCAATTACCTATTTTCTTTGATCTTTGTAATAGACCAAAGTAATGCTGCTCATTGCAGAGAACCTCAATAAAATAAGGAGAGTAAAGCTTAGAGAAATTAAGTAATTTGCCCAAGGTCATATAGCTTATAAGTAGAGAACTCAGATCTGTTTGGTTCCAGAACCTAGGCTCCTAATTACCTATTTTCTTTGATCTTTGTAATAGACTTAAGTAATGCTGCTCATTGCAGAGAACCTCAGTAACCCACGTGCTACAAGAACCTACGTTCTGGTTTCCACCATGGCCTCAGATTACAGGGCTGCTCTCTCTGCTGAACCCAATGCCCAACCTAATGAAAATTGTGGGAAAAAGTCTCCTTTGCCCAATTGATGTCTAAAGTTGTCCCATCCTATTCTCTATAGAGCCAGAGCTGACTCAGGCAGAAAGCACCCACTGATGTTGTGATTCACTCCCCAATGAGGAAGATGAAAGAGAAGGTGCAGTGAGCCAGGATGGGTGGCAGGAAAGGACAGGACAGGGCAGGGCAGGGCAGGGCAGGGCAGGTATGCAGAGAGCAGACCAGGTTGCAGGAGGGAGAGTATTACGTACAGATCCAGAGCGGGTGGAGGTGCTGCTCATCATGCTGTCACAGCTGCCGACACGGGTCACGGGTTCTGAGCCAGTCCCCGCTGGCCACAGCTCCCTCTCGGGCATCGCCTGAAACAAGGCGCAGGGATGGCAAAGGGGGCTCCCAGAGGGGAAGTGAGGGGAAGTGAACAATGTCCCAAGCCGGGCCTGAAAAGAGAAGAATCAAAGCCACATGTGAGCCGAGGCTTCGGCAAGGCTCTGCCCAGGCCCTGGGTGGCATGGCCGGAAGGACACCAAGCAAGCAGAGAGCTGGAAGGGGGCTGTGAACAGCCACTGCCCGAGACCCCCGGCCTGCATGGAAGGACCCTGGAGCTGGCTCAAATGCATGCAGAGGACGGACTTAGGTGGCAGAGAGGCAGTCTAGTCAGAAAGAAACTTCTACTACTTCTCTTACATTTTTCTCTGATCCAGGGAGCTTAACCTACATTTTCATTACTATAAGCAATACATATTACAGGGGTTAATAGCTTGGGTTCTGGAGTTAGTTGGGTCTGGGCTCAAATCCCAGTTTAGCCATTTACAGTTATGTGACTTGAGGCAAATTACTCTGAGTCTGTTTTTCTGCATTAAATAAGGTTAGTATAAGGATTACATGAAAGAACAGTTAGCATAGTTTAATTGGTAGTAAATACCCTAACACCTCATAAGTCCATAGTTAACTGTTATTGTTCTTATAACAAGAAAAAGACAAGATCCATCTGGGATCAAACTAAATTGAAACAAGAGAAACAAGAGCTAGAAAAGAAGGATTCTGGCTTAATCCAAGATTGTTCGATTGAGCGAAGAAACAGGTCCCGTAAAAATACCTATCCCATGGGGTTATTGTGAGAACATAATACTCTATGTAAAACACTTTGCATAGTGTAAATTGTCACCTGGTCTCAAGTCAATATCATCAACATCATCACAACCACCACTATGTCCATCTTTAGCTCCCTAGCCTGGAGGCATAAACAGGGCACCTGCAGTGGTTGACACAAACCTGTTTTCTTTCTAGCACATTTCTTTCTTTCTAGTGCCTCTGTTGTTTCACATGTTCCCAGTGAGATTCCCTAGCCCGTGCCAAATGAACAAGAGAAATGTCCCGTGTAGTTTCCTCCCAACTCCAATTCCTTACGGAAAGAAAATTTCAAGGTAATCATTAACAATAGTAATAGCAAAGGAAGGCAGTGCCATCTTCCCTCTGAAAGTCCCAAGGATTTTTATGTGTCTGCTTGTGGGAAATACTCCAAGAACACAGGCAGGCCAGAGGTGAGTGTCCTATGTTAAAATGAAATTCTAAAAGAATTAAGATGAAAAGACCATTCCAAGATCAAATAGAGAGTTGGAGGAGATCCAGAATTAGAATAAAGTTTGTCTTATTCTAAATCCATATTTTCCCTATAATGCCATCCTGCATTTTCTTTCATCCTTCCTACCCTCCAAATACTAGGTAAAAAGTTTTAGAAGAAAATGTGATCTGTTTGAGATCTGGAGGCTTGGGGTTTGGATGTGAGGGCTGATGTTCTCTTGGCCTTTGTTAATAATCACTTCCAATGCCAAAGTCAGATTTGGGCTGGGTTGGGTGTCAGCCTTCCAATCCTATAGAGCTAGCAAGTATGGAGCCCCACGGAGCTCCTCTTCTGCTTGGGAGGAGTCTCTCAAGAGGGGCAAGTGGGGGGCAGGATGTTGGGGAAAAAAAAGGAAAGATATCTAGCGAGCCAGACATCTGGTTCACAGGGATCCAGATCCTCCTAGGAGATATGGAGGGGATTGGAGAGGCAGTGACAGCAAAGAAGCCCAGTGATAAATAAATATGGGGTGAGGCAGTTCTTACGGTTTCTTCTTGAGGTTAGCTTCCCAATACCCATAAGAAACAGAAACATGAGAATCATGTGGATGAAGTTCAGTCATCTCAGCTACCCACTCCATGACTGATGGCCAAGTTCAGGGAGGATTAACCCATTCCTAACATTCTATAGGGTTGAGGCCACTATAGCAAAGGAGATCCATCTCTATGAGTTTAGGCACACAGGAAACACGCAAAAAATGCTGAATGAATGAACTTGCCATCTGTTCTAGGGTCTATTGGGTTGAACCTTTGGAAGGCTTCTTCTTGGTTTCTAACCTATTATTGTGAGTTTTTTCTTAAATATTTAATTTCCCAGATAATACATGGCTCAGTGGAATTTGGGCAATGTTTTCAGTTAAACTAACATTTATGAGCACCTAATAATAGGTACTGGTGATACAAAACTGTATAAGACAAAGGCATTGTTGTCAAAAAGTCAGTGTAGATCTAAGGGTCTAGTTTTGGGCTCCAATTTTCTACTATGTAAAAATCAGGGCATAAATATTTAAAGTGATTCACTGTAATTAACATAGTATTCTCTATGAATGGGTGAGCAGATAGTGCCTCTTACTTTCAGAGAAAATTATTACCCTTGTGCTTCTAAGTATGCTTTAGACTTTACGTAGGCTTTCTAGCCTCTCTTTCCTACCAGAATATAGGATGTCCTGGGAGGCCTAGGTGGGTGGATCATGAGGTCAGGAGTTTGAGACCAGCTTGGCCAACATGGTGAAACCCTGTCTCTACTAAAAATACAAAAATTAGCCAGGTGTGGTGGTTACGCCTGTAATCTCAGCTACTCAGGAGGCTGAGGCAGAAGAAATGCTTGAACCCAGGAGGCAGAGATTGCAGTGAGCCAAGATTGTGCCATTGCACTCCAACATGGGCAACGGAACGAGACTCTGTCTCAAAAAAAAAAAAAAAAAAAAAAAAGAATCTAGGATGTACTCAAGTAGCTGGAAGAGATAAAAGCCGTAGGAAAAGCTCTGCTCTATAAGAACACAGCATGCCATAGCTCGCAAAGTGCTCTCACATATGCTAATTAGATCTTCAGCGTAAACTGGAAACAGGCAGGACATGACGCTTTCTTCATTTTACAGATGAGAAAGAGCTCTTACCACTACCCCTTCCTAAGGGAAACAGTGAATGACCTATATCTGCATATACAGGGCAGCCCTCCCGATGGCATCCCAGAGACTGTCTGGATGCAAGAGGGGCATGCCCCTGAGAATGCTTACTAGCCACCTCTGACTAAAACACTAAAAGCCTTACGACCCCCTTCTACTACTTCATACCTTAAACCCTAAAAATTACCTGCTTCAGCTCTATACTTCCAGGCCAGTGTATTACCTCAACAGCAGATATTTCCACAGTAAGAGATGACACCAACTGCCAAGGAAGATCATGTCTTTAGGTATTACATAATCCCAGCACAGAGGAATCTGAACCCGAAACCAAAGCTGAGCGAGGCACTGTCACCTCATCTCCACACCTAGTTTTCTGACCTAAAGAATCTGAAAGGTTAAAAAAAGTGCTACATTTCTTTTTACTGACTTTATAACCTTGAACCTTGGGGGCTATTGTAAGGCAGCCATTGAAACCCTGATAAGAAGCCTGAGAAACAAGCAAAACACTCAAGGTGAGAGTTTAGTGTCTCTTAACCCTTGACCTCTTTGGGGACTTAACAGGAGGAGGGAATGGGTTAAGAAATATGCAGTGCCTATAGTCAGGGCCACCCATCCAAAGTCACATTAAATATTAACTACTCCACTGACTAAAATACTCAATGCTGCCAAGCCTAGGAAGAGAGGAAATAAAGGTGAAGTTTTGGCATCTGGAGAGGGTGTAGTGGGGAGAGGGCTCCCGCCCCATCCCAGTTGGCTTGTCTGCACATTCTCATCAGATCCAGGTCCCTCTCATCCTCCGCCTCCCAGGAGCTCACTCACATGTCCTCCAAGAGCTCTGTTTCTCTGCCTACTAGTCAGAGAGATTTCCTGCTTCTCAATCCAGGTCTCTCTTGCTGACTACCCAGAAACGTGGCTTAGGCTGGAAAATATCCTAAGAAAAATATCAGAAAGACTAAAATTTGCACTATGTGCATATCTGTCTCCATGAGCACATAGGCAAGTTTCTGTGTGTGTTTAGGCAACATTATCATCTTTTCTTTCACCAGTGGATTTGAGGGAAGGAGCACATAGAATACTCTGCATAGAAGAGCTTTGTTAGATACGGTGGGCGCTCTTTATTCTTAAGTTCACCATCTAGGGCAGCCCTCAGTCAGTGAGTGTGGGCTGTTGGCTCTGTGGTGTGAGATAAGCTCAAGTCTGAATCTCTAGTTGCCAAGACTGGAAAACCATTATATTTTCACTCAGGGCTGTGTGTGCCAGGCCCTGGAGCTGGCACTGAGGTCTTCCCACTTCCCTCTTCCCTGCAGCAGGAGGAAAAGAGTCAATGTTAGGGACCAAAGCGTTAAACCCCCCAGGTCAGATAAAGGAGAAGCAACTTGCTACCCTGACTCCACTCCTAGATCTGCCTGCCTTCTGAAGGTAAATCTGCCACACAAACTGCCAACTGGGACACCTGCAGGAAAACAAATCAAAGCCACCACTCTGGTCTGCTTCTCTCTCTGCGGACTCTGCCACACTACCTTGGCCTGAGCCCCACTTGGAACTCTAACTAGACTTCACATGCAGCCATGAAATATTCATGTGGGTGAGGCCAGGCACAGCCGGGGAGCCTTCTGTTTGCCGGACTCTGTATCTATTAACAGGCAAAGTCAGAAAGTTAATTGAGTAGAACCCAAATAAACTTGACTTTGCAGCTAGATTATCCATGAGTTTTCCAAAGATGAGCTGGTAGCTGGAGTTGAAATTTTCCCCACATGCCCAAACCTCATATCCCCTTACAAACAACCTAGTACAGCTCACGATTAACACACCTGTCCACAGAGAGTTCCATTGTCAAACAAGCATGATCGAACACACACACGCACACACTGCACCCATTATTTAAATAAAGATCAACACCGTGCTGACAAAGTCACTAGAGAATTTCCTGTTACAAACGCAATGGAAAACCAAAATACTCTCCCCCATTTTGACTCCTTCTATTTCAACTTTTCTTTTCCAAAATCACAACTCAATTTCAATTGTTCAGAGATGGAAATTTCCAAAACAAATCTATTTTCTTTTTCTTGTTGCTTGCATAATATGCCTATCCAACCTAAATAGGTAAATGAAAAAGAAGATGCCTCCCAGCCCTGGTCTCCACGAAAATGCTACAATCTCAAGTCACTACCACCTGATCTGATCCCAGAATGGACTCAGAGAACTGAGGAACTAAGAGGACAGCCCCCTAGCTGGGGTATAGAGGGATGCCTCTCCTCCCCTGTAGCTCTGATTTCCCATGAAACCCCTCCTCTTGCTGCAGGATAAGCAATAGTTGGTTAGTGATTAACTCACCTCCACTGGGTTGGGGGCTGAAGAGAGGAAAAGAAATACCCTTTTATATCAAAGGGCAGAGACAGAGGCTGCTTCGTTGCCTCTTACTGTTTTCTTCTCCTTTTGACCTCCTCCTGACTTACCTAGACAGGTAAATGCTTTGTCTGTCCTGACTGTTCCCCACCCTGCCACTGACTCGGCCAATCCTAGCCTCCCTCCCTACCTCTCATTCCAGCTGTTTCCTCAAGGAGGGAATGGGAGGGGAATGGGCAGGGTGGTGCTGCTCCCTCTTAGCCAATCATCTCTTGCCTTCCCCTTCCATGTTTAGAACTAATAAAGAGCTCTTTAAAAAAAGAGGGCTGGAAGGAGGAGGAGCTGGTTTAAACTGAGACTGGGAGGGCAGGTGACAGGGAGGGAGTAGGCAGACGTAGTAGATATATTTAATCTTGGTGTAAAGGAACACAGACAGTCCTCTGGGCAGTGTGCTTCTCCACAGGTCTATGTGAAACAGGTTTTCCATCTAGAACTACCTTCTTCCACTTGGAGCTTAGTTTTCTCTTGAATTCTTTAAGTTAAACTCCTTTGTGGTCAGTTTCGAGGCTAGCTTTTCCAGCTGTTGAAAGTCACTTTCTTCCCCAAGCCTACTACGAGCTCATAATCCTAGCAATTCCATTCATATCCTCTAAGGAGGGTATCCCAAGGATAGGGATGCTGTCGCTGGGCCAGTCTCGTGCCAGTGCTTGACAACTATCTCCTTGGCTTAATTTATTTCTGGGGGAGATAAAACCATTCGTCCTCTAAGAGGCCCCTAGCCTGATGAAAGAGCTACCGGACAGCTTGAAAGGAGAGAAAATGTGCTCTATTATTTGGGCCTCTGCTCTCTTTTAGCTGTTTACACGGAAGGTGGCAATACATATTATCATATAAAAACAAAATAAGCTACCAACCAGTTTAGCAACTTCTGTCTCCTTTCATGAACTGATATTTGGCACTTGTAGGGAGAAGAGGGTAGGTGGAAGAATCTACTGCTTTTGGGGAAGAAATCTCCCTCCAAGGACAGAGATCACTCTAACCAGACATGATTTTTGCCTGGAAGCTGGTTTTTCCTGGAGGTAGATTGTCCTTGATATCTATCAGCATTTGAGGTATTCCACTGACTAGCATTAAAAGGGTGAGAAGGAAATTTAAAATCAATGTACACAGTAATTACCAAAATTGATTTAGCTCTTGCTATTTTTCCAGGTATTGTGTTGAGCATTTTTATGCATCTTTTTACTTAGTCTTTAACTTCAAAAAGTAGGCATTTATTAATATCTAAATTTTACACGGAGGTTAAAAACTATTTTTTTTACCTGCACATGGATATTTATAGCAGCGTTATTCATAGTTGCCAAGACTTGGAAGCAACCAAGGTGTCCTTTGGTAGATAAATGAATAAACAAACTATGAGGCATCCAGAGAATGAAATATCATTCAGTGCTAAAAACAAATGAGCTCTAGGCCGGGCTCAGTGGCTCACGCCTGTAATCCCAGCACTTTGGGAGGCTGAGGCAGGTGGATCGCCTGAGGTCAGAAGTTTGAGAACAGCCTGGCCAACATGGCAAAACCCCATCTCTACTAAAAATACAAAAATTAGTCAGGCATGGTGGTGGGTGCCTGTAATCCCAGCCACTCGGGAGGCTTAGACAGGAGAATCGCCTGAATCCTGAGAGGCAGAGGTTGCAGTGAGCCAAGATTGTGCCACCGCACTCCAGCCTGGGTGACAGAGCAAGATGAAAGAAAGAAACAAAGAAGAAAGAGAGACAGAGAGAGAGAGAGAAGGAAAGAAGAAAGGAGAGAAAGAAAGAAAGAAAGAAAGAAAGAAAGAAAGAAAGAGAAAGAAAGAAAGAAAGAAAGAAAGAAAAGAAAGGAAGAGAAAGAAAGGAAGAAAGACAAGAAAGAAAGGAAGAAAGACAAGAAAGAAAGAAAGAAAGAAAGAAAGAGGGAAAGAAAGAAAGGAAGGAAGGAAGGAAAGAAGGAAGGAAGAAGTGAAGGAAAGAAAGAAAAAGAAAGGTAGGGAGGGAGGGAGGGGGGAAGGAAGGAAGGAAGGAAGGAAGGAAGGAAGGAAGGAAGGAAGGA